ATATAAATAATATAATATTACACATTTAATTATTTTACACATTGAATCCACATAAGTACTATTTTATGCWAAGACTTGGAATTTAACTAGGAGGGGCCAAAATTTAAAACTTATTGGAGAGCTTAAAACGTCTATGRGATAGYCTAAGCCTTTGTATCCTCCCTCCCTAGTTATGCCAATGGTTAACCAGAGATGATTTTGTTAAAGCATGTAGTCTGCATAGTTTTATAATTCATAATAATAAATAAACCATGAGTAATATGTGCAGTAAAGAAATCCATTATTTGTATGCTTTTATGCATTTCAGTATAGATAATATTAAAATATGCATAAAAAAAAAATAGACTGAAAAAATATATGGTAGTGTGATTATAATTTATATTTGTATAGTATCCATAAATAATGTATATAAAAGTTGTAACTATCTATCTGTCAAAAATTGTTAGTTTAATAAAAATAAAATTTTACCTGGTATAGCTTCAAGCAAGTTCATAGTTTTGATTTTATTGAGTGTATGTTTTAAATTTATCTTGTAAAGGCTTAGATATTTTCATGATAATAACATGAAATATGAAATAATCATATCCAACAGATTCTAAAATTTAAAAGTTATTTTAACTAAGTTATATGTTTTGTTTCAGGGATTGTGATTATGAGATATGCATGGTTGATTCATCAAAGCTATTAATAAAGGTTAGTTATTTAGTGGAATTAATGGGTGACAAAGGAGTTATGCTTCCTCTAAATCCCCCACTCTCACCCCCTAAAAAAAACCCGGTATTCTACCTACTATACGATTATATATACTTATTATTACAGTGTTTAATGTTAAAATATATTATTATAGTCAATATCATTAAATTGTATATTTTCTAGTGATGGGTCGAACTTGGTATGAAAAAAATTCAAACAATCAAGCATCTTTTACTGTTTGAAAATCGAACTTGAAAGTATTTGTTGAACTAGATTTAATAGCCACGATAATTCAAATACCAAATATTTGTACAATTCAAAAATAAAAATTTATAGTGATTATTTAGAAATAATAATTTTATAATTATTAATTAATGATAATATTTTTTATATATTTTGAAAATGATTGATAAATATGTGGAGTTTGAGTTCGACTTAACTTGATTTTAGATTCGGTTTGGTGAAGTAGAAAATATAAAGACTCGGTTCAGTTTGATTTAAAAAATCAGGGTTCGACCCATCACTAATATTTTCGTATAAAGGGCTAGAACAAACATGGTTTTTAATATGCCCAACTCCCTCCCACCAAAAATCAAACCTTAGATCTGCCACATTTACAAACAAATTTTAATTTAAACTCAAACTAATTATTATGTACAAAATTAATTTACGCTTAATTACAATTGCAGGAAGGCTTCATTAATTTATGCCAAAAATATGGTTCAATTAAAAATATTACTATTCATAAAACAGATTATGAAAATCAAGCATTTATTCTTTTTGAAGACAACGAGTTAGTAATTTTACTATTTCTTAACCAMACACGCCCTCAAGGTTTTTGAAAACAAAATTATAATTATTTATTATAATTTAACCAGAGTTGGGCATGATAACCTAATTCAAATATTGCTATGAAAATGTAAACTTTTTACCAGCTTAGTATTTTTCAATATTTATTGTATTAAAGATACTTTAGTATTGATTTATTKCAATAAAATAAGTGTTGATCAACCCTTTTCTTTTGCACTTGTAATATCTTTAACTGCTGTTTGCTTGTGTCAACTAATTTGATTTAGTTAACTCAGTATGGATACAAAATAAGAACTAYGAAAAGTGGTTTCCCTTTTTAATTTATTATAGTTAAGTTCCTTACTTGATGGTAAACTAGTGTGCTAAGGCATGAAAACATGGATTCACTAAATAGCCGCATACAAATGGGAGACAGAGAGATGTTCCTTGTTTGCCAGCSACTATAAACATCACCAAGATTTTTTCTTAAACTAAATGGAGTATAGCATAATAATAATTTTAATTACTAATTATTAATTTATAGTGCTGCATTCAAACTTTTAAATGAGAAGTTAGATTTTCCATCTTTCATAAAAGTGGATATTTCCAATCGAACACAAAAGATGATAAATTCAACATTTAGAAAAGAAAATGAAGATGTTGAAAAATATGATGATGATGACTATCTAAACACAGTTATTAAAGAAAGTGAAAAAAATGAAATTCAATTTGGGTTAGTTTTTAAGTGTAAATTAGTTTTGTGTTAGAAAAAAAACTTAAATTATCCATTTTCAATCTATTAGATTATTCTTGTAATGTGTTGATGATTGATCACTTCCTTAAGCCAGGTTTCTACAACTTATGTACTTATCATGTATACCA